GCCCACTGGCTCGCGATTCAACCTGCTGCGTCGCTGGCTCGCGGCTTCTGCGCTGGCACTGCCGCAGCCGCCGCGGTGTGCGGTCATGGAGCACCGCATCGTGGGACCCGGGCCGTACCGGGCCACCAAGCTGGTGAGTGAACGTGCGAGGTCCTGGGCGGAACCGCTGGCGCCGTGACCCCCGGCCTGCCCGCGGACAGAGGACTTGTCCTCGTTCTGCAGGGTATGCTGGGCACTGGTGGGAGGCCGACGGGTGTCAGCTGGCACCGCCCTTTTCTGGACGAGGCTCAAAGAAGGCCAACCCCGCCCCGCCGGGAGGGCAACCTGACTGGGGTGGGTACAGCGTCGTCCCCCGGGTGTTGGCCGGTTTCTCGGGAATGAAAACGCCTCGAAGACCCACTGACCCCTCTTCCCCTTTGTCCCCAAGAATCTGACGCCTGCGCCTGGGAGAGGGCGTCACAACCCTGTAACGCTCCGGGTTTGCGGCTGCTGAAGCAGGGTGTGTCTCCTTCCTGAGTGACACCGGGTGATACTCCCGAGATGTTTTTGCCCAGAGCAGGGGTGGATTGACCTGGTCACACGTCCAGCCCTTGGCAATCGTGTAGGATGGGTGGTCTGAAGGAGCCTTTGCAGATCCTGGTGACCCAGGGAACTCTCTTTTCAGGGGAAAAGTTTTAGTATTCACAGGTGTACTTGATCTGCTTTGTGATCTAGAGCAAGTAGTTCTAGTGATTTCTGCCTGAAGAGATTACTCCAAGAAAGGGTGACAGTTTGGTAACGTCTGTGGCAAGTTTTTAGAGGACTTTCCATGGAAACTGGTAATTTGGGAGAATGATAACTTCTTGGTCTGTCAACTGCTTCTGGCCTTCTCTACATTGGGAATTAACCTCATTGTTCTCTGCGCCCTAATGAACACCCAGGAAAAGATCCAGACTCTTTCTCAATTAGACTCAGGTAGAAGAGGTGAGGACACTGGAACACAGATAATATAGTAGTTTCCTCTCTAGAATCAGCCTTGCTGTAGCCAGTGGGGCCAGCCAGAGATAAGGTGGCCGGCTTTTGGAAGGAGAAATTACTGTTGGGAATGATGTTTCTTTACTTTTTAAAATCAGGCTTTTAAACCACTTTGAGAATCTGATAAAGATTATAGATCGGGACCAGCAGGTGGCTTGGTGGTTTAGACACTGGACACGCCTACATGGCTGACCACAGTTTGAGTCCTAGACCTGGTCCGCCGCGGTGTGCGGTCATGGAGCACCGCATCGTGGGACCCGGGCCGTACCGGGCCACCAAGCTGGTGAGTGAACGTGCGAGGTCCTGGGCGGAACCGCTGGCGCCGTGACCCCCGGCCTGCCCGCGGACAGAGGACTTGTCCTCGTTCTGCAGGGTATGCTGGGCACTGGTGGGAGGCCGACGGGTGTCAGCTGGCACCGCCCTTTTCTGGACGAGGCTCAAAGAAGGCCAACCCCGCCCCGCCGGGAGGGCAACCTGACTGGGGTGGGTACAGCGTCGTCCCCCGGGTGTTGGCCGGTTTCTCGGGAATGAAAACGCCTCGAAGACCCACTGACCCCTCTTCCCCTTTGTCCCCAAGAATCTGACGCCTGCGCCTGGGAGAGGGCGTCACAACCCTGTAACGCTCCGGGTTTGCGGCTGCTGAAGCAGGGTGTGTCTCCTTCCTGAGTGACACCGGGTGATACTCCCGAGATGTTTTTGCCCAGAGCAGGGGTGGATTGACCTGGTCACACGTCCAGCCCTTGGCAATCGTGTAGGATGGGTGGTCTGAAGGAGCCTTTGCAGATCCTGGTGACCCAGGGAACTCTCTTTTCAGGGGAAAAGTTTTAGTATTCACAGGTGTACTTGATCTGCTTTGTGATCTAGAGCAAGTAGTTCTAGTGATTTCTGCCTGAAGAGATTACTCCAAGAAAGGGTGACAGTTTGGTAACGTCTGTGGCAAGTTTTTAGAGGACTTTCCATGGAAACTGGTAATTTGGGAGAATGATAACTTCTTGGTCTGTCAACTGCTTCTGGCCTTCTCTACATTGGGAATTAACCTCATTGTTCTCTGCGCCCTAATGAACACCCAGGAAAAGATCCAGACTCTTTCTCAATTAGACTCAGGTAGAAGAGGTGAGGACACTGGAACACAGATAATATAGTAGTTTCCTCTCTAGAATCAGCCTTGCTGTAGCCAGTGGGGCCAGCCAGAGATAAGGTGGCCGGCTTTTGGAAGGAGAAATTACTGTTGGGAATGATGTTTCTTTACTTTTTAAAATCAGGCTTTTAAACCACTTTGAGAATCTGATAAAGATTATAGATCGGGACCAGCAGGTGGCTTGGTGGTTTAGACACTGGACACGCCTACATGGCTGACCACAGTTTGAGTCCTAGACCTGGTGGCTTGCTTTCTCACTTTCTCTTTCTCTGTCTCTCTCTGGTCAAATTAAAATAAATGAACGAATAAATAAAATTAAATAAATAATTCTTTAAAAAAAAGAGATCCTCTTCACACAGAAGTGCACATACCATGTACTTAGGAAACTTTGCATTTGACTTCAGGGGACTTGGGGGCAGTCTGTGGCATTGTTTCGTTTGTCTTAAAAAAACAACCATTTTATTTGGTCATGATTCTGAGGGTTAGCTGCTGGGATGGACTCATGACAGTGGTCCTTAACTGGGGCCATTCATGTACCATAGTTACCTGGTGACTGGACTAGGACTGGATGATGTAGGCTGGCTGTCCAGCTTGGTCCTGCCTACTAGTTGGGCCAAGTATCTCTAACAGGGTAGCCCAGACATTATTCTGGAAGAAATAGTCTCATGGTTCCAACATACTAAAAGAAGATTTGTGGCTTTTTGTTCAAATCTCATTGGTCAAGTCAAGTGAAACAACAGTCTGGATTCTAAAAATTTCACTCTTTGAAAGAAATTAAAAAAAAAAGAAATTTAACTCCTTAATAGGCAGGGTAGTAATGTCACATTACATAGGTGTGTGTGAATAGGGTGGGACAGGAGAAATTGTGCTTTGCAATTTTCTTTCTTTTTTTTTGGAGAGGTTTTTGCTACAGAGTAGTACACTCACCAGAAAGACAGAGACAGAGAGAGAAAGTGAGAAATCACCCCCCAGGGCGGATGACCATGCCACAGTCCCTTCTCCTCCTTTCTCCTCTTGGGGTCTTGGGCACGCACGCACACGTGCCTGCGTGGGTTTAAGCCACAGGGTCTGGGAGTCAAACTGCGGTCGACTACATGGGAGTTCAGCTACATAGCCATTGTGCTAACTGCTGGTCTCTACAATTTTCTTTTTTAAATGATTTGTTTATTTATTTATTTAATTTGACCAGAGAGAGAGGGAAAGTGAGAAAGCAAGTCACCAGGCCCAGGACTCAAACTGTGGCCGGCCATGTGGGAATCCAGCACCCTAACCACCATGCCACTTCTTGCTAGCCCATTTTTATAAACAATTTTCTACACATAGTCAGAATCATTCATTCATTTAAAACATATTCAATAAATAAAAATTTAAGTTTTCCTTTAAAAAAATTTTTTTTGAGAGGCTTTTGCTATAGGGCATATACACTCGCCAGAAAGACAGAGACAGAGAGACAGAAAGTGAGAAATCACCCCCCAGGGGGAATGGCCATGCCACAATCCCTTCTCTTCCATTCTCCTCTTGGGATCTTGGGCATACACGTACACGCGCCTAGCATGAATTTAAGCCACCAGTTCTGGGACTCGAATTGTAGTTGACTACATGGGAGTACAGTGATATAGCCATTATACCAACTGCTGGTTCCTAAAACAATTTTTAAAAAATTCATGATAGGGCATGTATGTGCACCTGTGAGAGTGAGAGACAGTGAGAAAGAGAAAGGAACACCCTCCGCAGGGTCTGGTCATGCTGCGGTTTTTTCCCTTCAGTTCATTGGATCTTGGATATTCATGCACCTGTTCATCATGTTTCAGGCCAGGGATTTGAACCGTGGTCATCAGGTGGAATGAGCAGCAAATTACTGCTGTATCATGAAGCCAGCCTTTAAGCTCTTTCCTTTTTCTTTTTTTAAAAGAGTTATTTATTGGGACCAGCAGTTAGCATAATGGCTATGTCACTGGACTCCCATGTAGTCAACCGCAGTTCAAG